TGGTTTGGCTACCCTGGTCTGTTTGGTGGGGCTCCAGCATCATTTACACGAGGCGCCTGTTTTAAAAGTTGTCTCTATGGTGTAGACAACTCTGGCTTCACAGCCAGTGGGTCAGCATTGCAAGGAGGAAGCTGGAGGAAGGGGAGAGAAAGTGGCCAGAAGGGCACTGCTGTCCCCTCTAACAGGACGTCTAACATGCCTGACCTGACACCTGCTCACTTCTCATCGGCCGCTTCTTCATGCAAGGAATCTGGGGAATGCAGTCATGGAGAAGGTTGTATTTTCACCTGATGAAGTTAGGGATCTGTTCCTAAGGAATCCAGGGGAATGGAAATTGAATGGGCTACTAGCAGTCTCTGAACGCCTACCAGCTTCCAGTGAAAGGGCAGGCCATCTGTGCCTACTCCAGTGTTGTTTTGGGAAGGCTGAACGACCTAATACACCACTGCTCCTGGGATGGTTTATGCATGTAGCAGGCTCTCAATGAAGCTGGAGTTAGTGTTGTTTTCATCTGTGTGTGTTCTGCTCTTTGCTCTATCTGCAGTGCCTAATTTGCTCTATCTGTGTGCCGCGTAGCAGGACTCAACAACCATTTTTGAATGCATAAATAAACTGCCATTATCATCAGCTCAGGTTTTTTGGGGTTTAGATAGCATAAACAGATCAGGGCCTATGTGATTTTTTAAATTTTTTTAACTTTTATTTAATAAATATAAATTTCCAGGCCGGCGCCGTGGCTCAATAGGCTAATCCTCCACCTTGCGGCGCCGGCACACCGGGTTCTAGTCCCGGTTGGGGCGCCGGATTCTGTCCCGGTTGCCCCTCTTCCAGGCCAGCTCTCTGCTATGGCCAGGGAGTGCAGTGGAGGATGGCCCAGGTGCTTGGGCCCTGCACCCCATGGGAGACCAGGAAAAGCACCTGGCTCCTGGCTCCTGCCAGGATCAGCGCGGTGCGCCGGCTGCAGCGGCGGCCATTGGAGGGTGAACCAACGGCAAAGGAAGACCTTTCTCTCTGTCTCTCTCTCTCACTGTCCACTCTGCCTGGCAAAAAAAAAAAAAAAAAAAAAAAATATAAATTTCCAAAGCACAGCTTTTGGATTACAGTGGCTTCCCCCCCCCCCATAACTTCCCTCCCACCTGCAACCTTCCCATCTCCCGTTCCCCTCCCATTCCATTCACATCAAGATTCATTTTCAATTATCTTTATATACAGAAGATCAATTTAGTATATAGTAAGTAAATATTTCAACAGTTTGCACCCACACAGAAACACAAAGCGTAAAGTACTATTTGAGTACTAGTTATAGCATTAATTCACCTTCTACAACACATTAAGGACAGAGGTCCTACATGGGGAGTAAGTGCACAGTGACTCCTGTTGTTGACTTAACAATTGACATTCTTGTTTATGGCATCAGTAATCAACCTAGGCTCTTTTCATGAGTTGCCAAGGCTATAGAAGCCTTTTGAGTTCATCAACACCGCTCTTATTTAGACAAAGGTCATAGTCAAAGTGGAAGTTCTCTCCTCCCTTCAGAGAAAGGTACCTCCTTCATTGATGACCCGTTCTTTCCACTGGGATCTCACTCACAGAGATCTTTCATTTAGGTTTTTTTTTTTTTCCCAGAGTGTCTTGGCTTTCCATGCATAAAATACTCTCGTGGGCTCTTCAGCCATATCTGAATGCCTTTAGGGCTGATTCTGAGGCCAGAGTGCTGTTTAGGACATCTGCCATTCTATGAGTCTACTGTGTATCCCACTTCCCATATTGGATCATTCTCTCCCTTTTTTATTCTTTCAGTTAGTATTAGCAGACACTAGTCTTGTTTATATGATCCCTTTGACTCTTAATCCTTCCATTATGATCAATTGTGAACTGAAACTGATCACTTGGACTAGTGAGATGGCATTGGTACATGCCTCCTTGATGGGATTGAGTTGGAATCCCCTGGCACGTTTCTAACTCTAATTAGGGGAACAAATTTCATATATATAGTTTTTTTAAAGAATCATTTTTTTTATTTGAAAGGCAGAGTTACAGAGAGACAGAGGGAGAGACAGACAGAGATCTTCTATCCTCTGGTTCACTCTCCAAATAACCACAATGGCCAGGACACGGCCTGGCTGAAGCTAGGAGTCAGGAGCTTCATCTGGGTTTCCAACGTGGGTGCAGGGGCCCAAGCACTTGACCCATCTTCTGCTGCTTTCCCAGGTGCATTAGAGGGAGCTGGATTGGAAGTGGAGCAGCTGGGGCTTGAAGTGGTGCTCACATGGGATGCTAGTGTCGCAGTGGTGGCTTTACCTACTACACCACAATGTTGGCCCTCATATATACAGTTGTAAGAGCATAGTGATACTACTCACCCTATCCTTTCTCCTTCCCTCACTCCCACCCTATTACCTCCTTCTTTTCTTATGTTTCTTTCAATGTTTACAATGACTTACTTTCAATTTACTTTATAATCATAGGTTTAACCTTCTACTAAATAAATAATTCATCAAGTAGCAAGTAGAAAAACCACTGCTGCTCAAGAGTATAGATTATGGCTATAAACAATAATCACATCCCAAAATGTCAATTTCACTTATATGTATTATTTTTGTACTCTGTATATTAGTTACCACAAATCAGGGAAAATATATGATATTTGGCTTTTTTGGGACTGGCTTATTTCACTAAGCATAATGGTATCCAATTCATCGATTTTGTTGTGAAAGTCAGGATTTCATTCTTTTTTATGGCTGAATAGTGTTCTAACATATATATGTGTTTGTATGTGTATATATATATATATATATATATATCCCAAATGTAATTTCTTTATTCAGTCTTCAGTTGATGGGCATCTGGGTTGATTCCATATCTTAGCTATTATGAGTTGAGCTGCTATAAACATGGGGTTACAGAGAACTCTTCCATATGCTGATTTCATTTCCTTTGAGTAAATTCCCAGCAGTGGAAGGGTTAAGTCATATGGTGGATCTATTTTCAGATTTCTAAAATTTTATGTTTTTTAACATTTTGTTAGCAAATAATAATCGTATACGTGTGTGGAGTTCAACGTACTGTCTTGATATGTGCAACTGTGTAGTCCTTTATTGGAAGAATATCACTGGTTCCTGGAAGTGACATGAGAGCTGGACAGTCAGGCCTGATCAGACAGGGACAGGTCTCCAATTATTCTGTAATGAATCAGGTACAGCTGCTTTCTCCCTGTCCTTGAATCACTGCACTCAGCGTGTAAAGCCCTAGGAGACAGAGTGTAATGGGCCAACTGTGGCTGAATCATCTGTCTTTCTTTGGATAAGGGAGGCCAGAACATGTTGTTTTATACAAAAGACTTCATGGAACTGGAGGGAGGCAGAGTTAGGACCAAAGAAAGTGCAGGATGAAATCAGCAGGAAGAAAACGGGTGGGTGACATGCAGACATGCACACGGAACGTTGCCACTCCTCCTGATTTGCATTACTGCCACAAACTCAAGAGAAGGACCCCCGGGGAAAAGAAAAGAGACCCAGCAATTAGGTCGTTTAATACATCAGTATCTTCAGGTTCTTGTTTGCTTGTTTTTTTATCATTAAATAGTAAGCCACCCTGCTGGAAAGCTGAGTGCAGGAACTTTGAAGAAATGAGATTAAAAGCTCTTTTTCCACATTTTTCAAAAAAGACATAAGATGGTTGGTGATGCCTTGAGGTTGGTACCAGAGAACAAGCGGGAGGCTGGAGATAGCACATGCAGCAAGGTCAAGTGAGCCTCACCTGTGTCAGTCCTGCCGCGTCAGTAATGACACCTGCATAGACAAGCCCTCCGTGATGCACTTTCAGACATCAAGTAATTCTTCCTAAATACTGCATTTTCTCTCAAGATGACAGTGCCTGTCTGGGTGATTACTGAGACACGAAGTTGAAACCCGGTGATGTTCACTGCCATTGCAGGTGTAGCTGGGTAATACAGGTCCATGGCAGCCTAGGGATTGACTTGAAAGAATGATTCAAACTAAAATCATCTATGGTTATTGAGCAAATCTTGTACTAGACATTGGGAGCTGCTCTCCCTGGCACATTTATTGGAATTTTTAAAAAGTATAGGAGTTGAAGCTGGGGCATAGCAGGTAAAGCTGCCACCTGCAGTGCTGGCAGCCCATATGAGCACTGGTTTGAGTCCTGACTACTCCACGTCTGATCCAGCTCTCTGCTATGGCCTGGGAAAGCAGTGGAAGATGGCCCAAGTCATTGGGCCCCTGCACTTTAGTGAAGAAAAGTCCTGGCTCCTGGCTTTGGATCGGCACAGCTCCGGCGACTGCGGCTATTTGGGAGGTGAACCAGCAAGTGGAAGACCTTTCTCTCTCTCTCTCTCTCTCTCTCTCTCTCTCTCTCTCTCTCTCTCTCTTATTCTCTCTGCTTCTGCATCTCTGTAACTCTGCCTTTCAAATAAATAAATCTTTTTAAAAAGTATAAAGCTAAAATTTCTTCTCTTTATTTGATTGTGAGAAAAAATGCTGACAGCCCCCTAATTGATTGGCATGACTGCAGCTAGGCACACTGTGGCTCAGCATCATTCCAACCAGTGACTGGGAATCCGGTTACCCAGCATGCAGTGGGATAAAGAACCTTGTTAGTCTAGTAATGTGGCTCCAGATAATATACATAGTCTTTAGTTATTAAACAATTTATTAGTTTGGTTTGCTAACAAAGATAACCTTGTCTGCTCTTAGAATGTGTTTAGAAAACTGAATACTAATATATTTACTTTTATAAAACTAGACTTTTAAAGCAGTTCTTCAAGTTTTATACTCTTTATTTCTATAATTTAGCACTAGGAAATGTGTACAAAATGGTCATTAAAGAATGAATGAGCAATTATAGTTGGCGTATTATATTAAAAATAGCATTGAAATACAGTATTTGGGGGTGAAAAATTCTTAACATTTTAAAACTCGCTGATTGTTTATTTGTGTTGTGATGCTAAGCTTTCCATCTTTGTGTTTTCTTCTTTTCAGGACTAGAACACATTACGGAAACTAGTCACCCACGGCAGCTCCCTGTGGACAGATTGCGACTTTGAAAGCTTGCGAGTGTTTTCTCCTGAATCCTGCCATGTGGAGTCTTTGAGGCATCCAGTCTGCCCAGCCCCTGAGTGAATCTCCTTCACTTGGTATGTAAGGGAGCACCTCGCCTGCACCATGACAAACCCGGAAAAATGGGCCCATCTCAGCCCCTCCGAATTTTCTCAGCTCCAGAAATACGCCGAGTGTAAGTATTCACACTGAAACGCTGTGGTGTTGCGCAGTTGTGCTCAGCAGGTATGGTTGATTTTCAAGAACGGATCTCAGATCCTGTTCACTATGGGAACAGAGGCTGTGTCTCTTGTGCTCACAAACAGAGCTACTGGAGAATCCTTTTCTGGCATGGCACAAAACAAAAGGTAAGTCAAGTGTCAGAGCTACAAGAAGACACCAGGATACTGGGCATGGAACAAAGCTTGGGAAACGCTGCAGGTGCAACACGGTGAAGAGAAGGGCTGGCAGAGAGGAAAGCAGTACCCCTGTAACACAGAAAGGGGAGGGAAGCCAGGAACCTAAAGTCAGCAATGAGGAAATACAACTGGGGGTCACAGTAGGCTGAAGTCAGAACCTCAGAGATGTCGGGAGGAATGGAAAAAAAAATGTTTTTTTTTTTTCTTTCCTGGTCATTAACCTGTCATTTCAAAGGGCAGGTCATAGATCCATCATGGAGTGTCGCTCCCCCTCTTCGTGGAGGAACGACACAAGACCCTGCGCTGTTCTTTCGTCTGCTCGGCCCTCCCCGGGTTTGCTGCTGGTTCTTCCCGGGTTGGCTACTATCCCTTCCACCTCCATGGAAGGGCAGTTCCCCCTGGCCACATTCCCCACTTCCGCAGGGGAGCGGCACACCGCTGGCCGGCTCTTCTCGGGTGCTGCACAGGTGTTCCTTCAGCTAGATGTTCCCCTTAGATGTTCCCGGTGCATGCCGTCTCTCTCCTCCTTTATAGTCCTCCTCCGCCAATCCTAACTCGGCTGCCCACACGCCGAGTACGCTGCTCTCCTCCAATCAGGAGCAAGTCCTACAGTTTATTAGCTGAACTCGAGGCAGCTGTGCGGAAGCTGTTTACTTCTCTCCCATCGCCATATTGTGGGAGAGCAGATGCATAGAATAAGTCTTAATTCCAGTAACTCAGTCTAGTCCGGTTTGCTCCCCACAGATCCCCCTTTCTTTTTATTTTTTGGCATTGATACGTGCCTGTCTTCGGTGTCCCGCGGCACACACTCTGCTCTACTTGCTAGAGTTGCCACAGGCTCTTACAAGTCCTATCAATCAGGCAAACCGAATCCGGGTCCTCTCTTCGCCATGTTGTGAGGAGGTTTTTAGGCGCTGATGCGTGCCTGTGTTCGGTGACCTGCGGCGCATAAGCTGCTAGCCGCCGCAGGTGCTCATCGCCTCACTTAATCAGGCAGACCAAATCCAAGCTTTCTCGTTGCCATGTTGAGGGGAGGCCTTTCTATTTCTCTATTTCTCTATCTCCGGGCATTCCTATTTCTCCCATTTTACTTCTATCTTCCAGCATTCCCATTTCTCTCACTTCACTTCTAAACTTCTGTTTCTCTTATCCCCGCGGCTTCCCGGCTGCACCTGCCCCGAGGCTGCTTCTCGGCAGCTTTCCGGCTCTGAGCCGCTTCAGCCTCTCTCATCTGCGCGGCTCGGCTTTGCGCGCACACTCCGCGGTCTCACACTTAGCCCAGCGTTCCCTATGTACTTGAGCCCCGCACGCTCTGTCTGCGCGCGGCAGCCTCCACGAGTCACACAGCGTAGCTTACGTGTCCGCCACTAGCATTCAATCTAAGTTCCCCGGGCTAGCCTGGCGAATTCAACCCAGCATACGTCTCCGCCCCACGGTTTGGCTTCCCGTCCTTTGCTCCCCGGGCTAATCAGACGGATCCCAACCAGGCTTACGTTTCAGCTTCTGGTTTTAACTTTTCACCCCCTATTCCCGGGCTAACTTGAGAATCCCAAAGTGGCTTTCGTATCCGCCTCGGCCTGCCCCCCGCGGCTTCAATTTCCCTAACATTTTTCTCTACCCGGTATGTTTCCCCAAGCTTTCCTCCAACAATACTCCTCCCTCATTTCTCCTGGCCTCTCCCCACAGTCCGCATCCGAGTCTGTTTGTTCTAGCTTTCACTTTCGCTTTCGACCTTAGAGATTTCTCCCAGCTTCCCCCCGTAGTCCGTATCTGAGTCTATGCCTAGGCTTTCAACAGCTTCTTCCGGCACCTCTTTCGTCCAGCTTTTCCCTAGGCTATTTACTAGTCTCTCTCTCTCCGGTATTTTCCCAATTCTTCCCGTTTCTTCCCTCCTAAGTTTAATATCCGTCCTAGGTTTCCTATCCGAGCTAGGTTTCCTATCCGAGTCACGGCACCATTATGTCGCTCCCCCTCTTCATGGAGGAGCAACACAAGACCCTGCACTGTTCTTTCGTCTGCTCGGCCCTCCCCGGGTTTGCTGCTGGTTCTTCCCGGGTTGGCTACTGTCCCTTCCACCTCCGTGGAAGGGCAGTTCCCCCTGGCCACATTCCCCACTTCCGCAGGGGAGCGGCACACCGCCGGCCGGCTCTTCTCGGGGGCTGCACAGGTGTTCCTTCAGCTAGATGTTCCCCTTAGATGTTCCCCGGTGCATGCCATCTCTCTCCTCCTTTATAGTCCTCCTCCGCCAATCCCAACTCGGCTGCCCACACGCCGAGTACGCTGCTCTCCTCCAATCAGGAGCAAGTCCTACAGTTTATTAGCTGAACTCGAGGCAGCTGTGCGGAAGCTGTTTACTTCTCTCCCATCGCCATATTGTGGGAGAGCAGATGCATAGAATAAGTCTTAATTCCAGTAACTCAGTCTAGTCCGGTTTGCTCCCCACAATGGAGGTAGAGTTAAAATTGTAAAAAGAAAGAGGAGTCTGCTTTAAAACCACTCATGTGTATGGATACAAATGGTAGGCCATGATAATTCACTTCTTTAGGCTGTTTTATTAAATTCTTTACTCCCATGGAGTAAGATTCTATTTACAATAGCTCTGTTATTTTCTGTAGATTTTTAGGAATATCACTGTTTCACAAAGCGAACTTCAATTGTGCATTTGACTAGCAGCTGGGTCGAAGTACTGAGAGAAAGGGAATCTGTTGGTGGACAGGAGGAAGAGGAGGCCTTGGAAGATGATGAGTGGAGAAAAAGCGACGGGCAGAGAATGTGTAGGAGTGTGAGTGTGGAGGGGAGAATGCGATGATGGACAAAATCAGATGCAAGACCTGGGGAAGAGAAGAAGGAACAACCTCATTTGTCAGTGAGAGGGAAGCAGCTGAGGCAGCCAGGGTCCCTGCACCGGGACGTGGTGTAGCATGGAGGCGATGGGGTTCAGGAGGGGTTTGATTGTGATGAAGGGCCAGCCATGAAGCGTTAAGCATAGTTGGGGCATTTGGCGTGTGAAGAAGCAGATGTGGTACTGGTACTGAGTGCTCACACTCATGTTTGCAGGGTGAACAGCATGAGTTGGGAACACCAATAAACTCCTCTGTGTCTGTTATTTGAAAAGTCAAGTTTCAAAGCTATTCTAGAGATCCATCCCTTCCTCCCTCCCTCCCTCCCTCCCTTCTTTCCTCCCTTCCTCCCTCCGTTCCTTCCTTTCTTCTTTTCTTCTATTTTGAGAAACAAAGATGGACACACACACACACACACACAGAGAGAGAGAGAGAGAGAGAGAGAGAAACATAGAGGCAGTAATAGAGACCTCCCATCCATTGGTTTACTCTCCAAATACCAAGGATCCCAGAACTCAAGCCGTGTCTCCCGTGTGGTATCAGAGACCCAACTACTTGAACTACTGCCACTGTCTTCCAGGCTGTGTGGGCATAGGCAGCAGGACTTGGGAACAGAGCCAGGACTCCGAGCACGCAGTAGGAGATGGGCCATCCTGTGCAGTGTCTGAACCACTGCTCCAAATGTCCACCCCCCAATATCAGAGTCCTGTCTCAGCCAGAGGGCTGTAGCTGTTGGAGGGAGCAGGTGAGGAATCTGCTTGTTATTCAGAAGAAAAATTACAAATCCATAATTATCTATGCAGTTTCTTCGCCAATAATAATAAAAATACAAGTATGCTCAGGTTGAGAAAGGTGGTCAGCTATTTTTGACATCAAATTATGGTCTTAATACTCAGAGCTTTTAAAGAGTACTGAGAGTACAGCTCACCCTTTTATCGCCAAGGGAACTTTAGACCAGAAAGGCCGATGCCGTGTTTCAGGCCCATGCCCTTCCTAAACTTCCCTACCTTTCCTATGTTCCTGGCTAATGTTGTCTGTGTAGTCACCAGCTAGAGATTTCTGAGCACAGTTTCCATCCTGCTTGTTTGTGCAAGAGCTGCAAAAGGGAACAAAGATGAAGGAATACAAACCAGCAGATCAAAGCTGATTCCCTCTCTGTGCAGGATGTTGTCAGTACCACACAGTTTACAGTTCCGTAGAGTTTCCGTATTGAGCTAAGGTGAGGGAGGAAGGGAAGAAGGATTTGAAAGGAATCTGAACCAAGAGGTTTATAATGAATAGCAAAATAAGGCTAAAACAGAAACTTTAGCATACACCCGAGGAAGGAAAGTAAACCATATTTTGCCACCTCACACATCAAAGGGTTAAGTGCAGTTAAGTCTGTAAAAATGTGTTGGAGTCGAACTTTGTAGTGTGACACTGGATCAGGTCAGGAAGGACCACTTTAGGGCTTTGGATGATAGAAGGACACGAACTGTGATGTGCTTCAAGGTGTAATTTGACAACCGAGAAAATGGTCTATAGTAATGGAAGTGACTCAAGTTAGGACAGTGAACAGGCGGCTGCAGTCAACTGTGCAGTGTAGATTACGGAAGATTAGTGGGAAAATGAGGGTGCCTGTGCTGTAACACTAAAACTAGCAGGTGAGCATCTGTAAACTAGCAAAATAAGAGAACTGAGACATAAGACACACACACACACACACACACACTCAAGAGGGAGAGAATTTAGCTTCAGAATTGACTTGAAAAAGAGGTATCGTGGTGATATAATCCCTCAGGTAAAGAAAACACTGAGTTTTGGTTTGCTCTACTTTATGGTCAACCTGGCTAAATCACTGAACTATTTCTCCAGGGTGCACATTTGGCCTAGACGTTAAAGACACCAATTATTAGGCCCGTGCCAATCTTGGAGTACCTGGGTTTGAGTCCCAGCCC